TAAACAGAAAATATTTGAAGTCCAGACATATGATGACAGTCCAACCATTTGCTTTACTAAGCCTCTCAGTGACCTTCCAATGTTCAACAAGATTCATGATTACAAATCTGAAGAAAATCACCAGCTACGTGATTCTAAAATGAACCAACTATTCTGCAATACTTCCAAAGATGATAAGCATGTGCAAATTTTAGAGTGTGCCTTGAATCAAAAAGTTTTTAATAAAGTTCCTAGGGTATAAAGAAATCCGCTCCCAATTCATCCAGTCTATAAGCCAATCATCACCACAAGCATGGGGATCTTACAGAATGGATAACTTTGCTTCAACTCCTATCTGCAATTCTCCCTCTGTGAAACTATAGACGAGGGAAATTATTTAACTAAGCATTCATTTCCTCCTTATTCACAGGGGAAATGGAGTACAGCTCAAAGAGAGATTTGAGACAATATCTGTCAAGTGCCTGGCATACTTCAAGTATTCAACAAATGGTGGTTATTAATATTCCTCTGGGTTTGCCAATTTTAAAAATTAACATTTCATATGTAGTTCTTCAAATCATGTGATATCTCAAATCCTAAAGAAAGGCCCTATTGATAAGTTCTGATTTCTTCAGCAGTCTTGAGCCATTTCAGGTAAATCCTATATATGTATCTAATGTGCAAACACAATGTGATCAGACTGGTAATCTTGGAAATCCTTTGATTGCTGGAGCTTGGCTAAGCAATTTTGATGAATGGCTTTTCCAGAGAACTCCAGCACAACATGTCCTTTATAAGTGCTCAGGAACCACTGAATTAGAAAAACCTTGGACTATTATAGATCTAGATGAGTTCCATCAGCACCCAAAGCTGCAACACCTTGAGGATTTGCTAATGCAGATATGCAGAGAGCAAAATGCAGAGGTGAAGGCCCCACATGAAATCTAACCTCATTCCACAGAACAGAATATTCCTCAGCAATAAAAATGATTCCATGCTATAAGATGGATGCACCTTTAAAATATCATGCTGGGGCTGGAGATGTGGCTCAAGTGGTAGCGCTCGCCTGGCATGCGTGAGGCACTGGGTTCGATTCTCAGCACCACATAAAAATAAAATAAAGAGATTATGTGTCCACCTAAAAAAAACTAATAAATATTAAAAATAAAATATTATGCTAAATGAAAAAAGCCAGTCACACACAAAAAAATGCATATTGAATGATTCCATTTATATGAAATGTGCACAAAAGGCAAATCCACGTAGCAAAGCAGCTGCCTAGGGATGGAGTGGATAGGGGTTAGGCAGTGAGAGCAAATGGAGTATAAGACAGAGGATGAAATGTTCTGAAAGTGGATCTGAGGATGGCTGCACAATCCTGTGAACATAATAAAAATCTTAAATTGTACACTTTAAATGGATAAATTGTATGGTATATGACTAGCATCTCAATAAGGTATTTTTTAAAAAATCTAACTAATAAAATAATTAGTGGATAATTTATTCTTTGCTATCTGGAGCAATACCTTCTCCATTCAAAACTAAAACAGGCATTCAGAGTGCCGTCTAATGTTTAAAGTTATCAAATATCTTGAGTTTGGAAGTATGCTTACCTTGCCCTTGTATCTCTATTTCAATAGCAATTGTTTTAATGAACTCCAGTGATAGAAACTGCACAAGTAAATGCAAAGTTTATCCATGTTCAAACCAAATTCTACAAATTACATTCTTTTTTTTTTTTAAAGAATTTTTAATATTTATTTTTTAGTTCTCGGCGGACACAACATCTTTGTTGGTATGTGGTGCTGAGGATCGAACCCGGGTCGCACGCATACCAGGCGAGCGCGCTACCGCTTGAGCCACATCCCCAGCCCACAAATTACATTCTTTACTGATCAGCAGTAATGACAGTTCTCTCCTTACCGACTACCTTCATTGGCAATCTTTTGGTTACTTATTACACAATCTTTTGATTACTTATTCAAACCACTGAAGCTCCACTTTCATGGGATCTCTTTGTTCTTTCAAGAAATACAGTACCTGTATGCCAGGCAAAAGAGTCCTACCCTCTAGATTGGCTAAACCTACCTACTAGGAGCCCAGCAGAACCAATGTGATTCACTTGAGTGGGAACATGACTGGAGAGAGAACTAGAAGTTGATTGAACTCCTGATGAGGAATTAAAGGAGGGGAATGGGGGGGGGGTGAAGAGTAAGGAGTATATGGTCTTAAAAACTTAACTAAAGAATCTGTGGCCTTGGGTTGGAGTTGTAGCTCAGTGGTAGAGTGCTTGCCTAGCATATATGAAGCACTGGGTTCAATCCTCAGCACCACATAAAAATAAATAAATGAAATAAAGGTATTGTGAATCTGTGGCCTAGAATATTTTTATTGATGGCAAAACATACTTGTATTTCTGGGTTTTTCCAAGTTTATTTATTTTTTTAAGAGAGAATTTTAATATTTATTTTTTAGTTTTCGGCGCACACAACATCTTTGTTTGTATGTGGTGCTGAGGACTGAACCCGAGCGCTTGAGCCACATCCCCAGCCCCCAAGTTTAAGTTTAGAAGAACTCATATCTGAATGTGCAAGCTACTGTGGGAAACAAAAAAAAACTGAGAATCCACAGTCCCTGAACTTCAGATCCCAAATCTGAGGAAAATTAAATTTACTCACATGAAGAGATTTAAGAATAACAAGAATAAAAATATACTATCAATTCAACACACATTACTGAGGAAAATATTAAATGAGTAGTACAATTAAGCAATGCCTCCCAAATACTATCTCCCACCAGGCTGGCACAGGAATAAACAGACTGCTTTATAAAGTAGACATCTTATTAGTATTATTTACACATAAAGATTAGTTGTAAAAATCATAACTTTGGTTAAACAAATTACCTAATTTTTAGGTAATTAAACCCTAATTACTCAAGTGTCCACCACCACCTCCAATTGATGTAAAGAACCTGTTTAAAATGTGTTGATCTTAATTTCCTTTATTTTTAAAAGGTTCCCTGTTTGGAGAGACTAAGGAAGTAAAGGGTTTTGTTTTGTTTTATTTTATTTTTTGTAGATCCAGGCCACATGTAAATAATGTTATAAATACCAATTTGATCACTGCTTCTGTTTAAAAGCTTAAAAAATTAAGATTCTCCAATAATCCAGGGTATACCATGATCTTCTCTGCTGCCCCAATGTTTTAATTCTAAATACTATATAAACTCTTCTCTTATGTATCAATTTCCTTCCCCTCGGGCCAAATGTTTTCAATGAAATGACAATGTTACATTATTTGACTTTTACTAAGGCATTACATATAGATGACTTGGACTTAACTATTTGAGTTATTAGTATGGTCAATTTTAAATAGTTTAAAAGTTATTAAAGTTGTTATTACTTTTAAATAGTAATATTTAAATTACTATTTTAAATTATTATTTTAAATAGTTTAAAATTTAATTACACTATTCTTTGATTGCAAATTACAAATTTTTATCATTTTTTAATATTTATTTTTAGTTTTCGGTGGACACAACATCTTTATTTTATTTGTATGTGGTGCTGAGGATCGAACCCAGCGCCCCGCGCATGGCAGGCGAGTGCGCTACCGCTTGAGCCACATCCCCAGCCCACAAATTTTTATCTTGATAATTGATTCTCCATAGCTTTAGTATCTTGTGTAACTGTTGACAAAGTCCACAAACAAGTTTTTCCAAACCAACAACTAAGAAATTGGGTAAGTTAATTAATTGGGTAAGTTAATTTCATATAATAATTTGATTATTATATGAAAGAGTTGACAAAGTCTTTCTTTGATACTATCAAAGAATAACAAGTACTGTGAAGTGTTATGTCAATAGCTGCTTACATCAGGGAAAGATTTTATACACCCATTCCTACTTGTGTATGTTTTCTCCTAATGTGTAGGCTGTTATCCCAAAAAGTTAACATTATTATGTCTTTCCCAATAAACTTGTTTTAAGTGTTTTTGAATGAACAAATAACATGGAATAACATTCGTGTATCTTACTTAAGCTCAGTCTGCAAGCAACCCTAACCACACCAAAGTTCAATAAAATCAGAAGTGAACATCAAAATGAATAATCACATCAAAGAACCACCACGAATGTCATAAGCAAAAGCTTGGTGTTTTTTTTTGTTGTTGTTGTTTTGTTTTGTTTTTAAAAAGCCATAACAGAGGGAAAATAAAGAAAAAAGGGAGGCAGGAAAAGAGGGAAAAAAGGGAGAACAAAAACAAGTAATTTTTCCAAATGCTCCAATCTGACCTTTGTCCTCCATTTTTAAAGTCCTCCAGTTGGCTGGAACTAGGTTTAGCTCACTTCGTGGGGATACTTTTCCCCACAAACGACCTTCTGCAATGTTGCTGATTGCAACGTGAAGAGCGATTGTTCTGAGAAAGCAATAAGCTTTTGCTACTCATTTGAACGCCAGAAAAGTTTAGGGAGAACTTTTTTAAAGGGGGGCTTGTAAATTACATGAAATTTCCAGTTAGGAGGCAAGGTTCCACAAATCCGAAAGAGGGTGAAATTTAACGCTTCCACACCCCTTGCCCCAGCCTCACTCCTAACAAGTCAATTGAAGGCTTTTCCTCCTAAGCACAGCGTCTGTTTTTAAAAACTTTTCTTTTAAAAGCACTCGGAAGGAGAGGCTCAAGGTGAGTAGGAAGCCGCCTGACTGCAGCCACGAACCCGGAATGGCTTCAAAGACAGAAGCCCCTCAGAGTTAAGGCAGATTTCTCGCACCTTCCAAGTGAGATTCCCACTTCAGATTCCCAGAGTTCAGCCAGCAACGTATTTAGTAGTTTAAAAGTCCACAAGTCTGAGCAAACCGTAAGATGGCTAAGGGAGATAGGGCGGGTGAGCGGCACACAGGAGCGGGAGGAAGGCGAGGGAAGACGGGGAGGGGAAGGCCAAGCACTAGTCCTGGTCAGTGCGGGCCCCGCCGAGCCGCGAGCCGGGGCAGGAGGGAGGGCGCGGCGCTGCATCCGACTCACCTGCCCATTCACCGAGCGCCGGGCCGACCCCCGCCTCGTTACCCACACCCCAGACTCGAAGAGCCGAGTAGAGCGAGTACGAGATGCGGAGGGACAGGTAGGCCACGGTGCCAAAGCCTACCCAGTACAGGAAGCTGGCAGCAGGGAGAGCGCTCTCCATGGCTTCCGAGCAGGCCTTTCTACCTCCGTGAATGGAAGAAAAAAMAAATCGAATGAATGAAGTCWGAAGGAGGTGCCAGCTGTGACTGCGAGGACGACACTCACGCGCCTTTCGTAGAACCCTTTGAGCCTAAACCCCGCCTACGGCGCCATATACGTGCTGCCATTGGTGATTTATCTTTCCCTCTGCTAGTAGTGGGTCATCTATTGGCTAATGATAGGTTTGTTGCCCCGCCCACACCCCCACCTGCACGTACCGTGTGGCGTTTCCGTTCTAAGAATGTGGATCGTTCACCTGCCAATCAAGTATCAGTCCCGCCCAATCGCCTCACCAAGACCTACAGGATTCCCCTCCCCGGCCGCAAGTCTCACCCCACCAAAGCGCCCTGGTTTCTCATTGGCTGCGGTGGTCCTGGTTTTCTATTGGCCAATCAGATCTAGCCTGATTTAGCCCTGGCTTGAAGATAGACTTTGGATCAGAGAAGCGGCCAGCGAATGGGAAGTGTGTATGGAGCCATGGGTGTGCGTGGAGCCCTGGTTTTATTTTCACCTCTGTATTAGCAGTTCTGTACCGTTGTTAGTGTGGGCTCGTGGTTCCCGTAGTCTTTCCGGATAAAGGCTTGCAGTACCCTGTTTCTGTGCCTTTCCCCACCGCACACATTCGCTGTGGTTACACTTACGTCTTCAGGTTCTTCTAAAGGCTTGGCCTCCCACCCGCTTTATGCATGAAATAACTGGTCGTTCCCAACTACTTGGAGTTCAAGGCAAACAGCTTGCTGCAGTCAGATAACTCTAGTTCAGAACGGTAGAAGAGCTGTAAGATAAACGAAAAAACGGACCATAGGAGTACAGCTTGCAGAACAATTAGTTTTGGAAAGATAACCTACCTTCTAACTGTGGGTTAAAGAAAGATTTCTGTGATCCCCCGCCTCCCGTTTTTGTGGGGTGAACGAGTGGAGTTTCTTTCTTTCTTTTTTTAGAACCGGGTATTGAGCCACATCCCCAACCCTTTTTAATTTTTGAGGCAGAGTCTCTCTAAGTTGGTTAGGGCCTTGCAAAATTGTGGAAGCTGGCTTTGAACTTGTGATCCTCCTGCCTCAGCTTCCCAAGTCACTGGGATTACAGGTGTGCCTGCACCTCGCCTGACTAGAGAGTGGAGTTTCAGGGAATGATTTAGGACAGATGAGTCTGGACACCTGAGAAATTAACAGGAAGCCGGTTTATTGGCTGCAGGGGTAGCTCATGCCAGAGTGGCTCATGCCTCTCCTCTAACTAACAGTGTAAGTTAACAGGGTCACAAAAGTATGCAGTCCAAGACATTGAAGTACCTCAGACAAGTTCCGGAAAGACTGCAAAGTAAGTTTCAGAAATAGTGTAAGACAGTTGTGTAAGTGTTTTACCCATAATTCTCCTTTCCTCTCTTCAAGACTTTCTCTTTTCTGGCATGGATTTGGACTCACATTAGTGAGTCAAGTTTTTGTTGTTGTTGTTGTTGTTGTTTTTTCCTTCTGATTCAAGGTTTTGTTTTGGTTTGGGGTTTTGGGTTTTTGTTTGTTTGTTTGTTTTGTTTTGTTTGTTTGTTTTGTTCAAGCAGGAACTCCAGAGTAGTAATTCTAAGGGTAACAGTTCAATTCATCTTGAGGCTAACTTGATAGTTTTATAATATTAACTTTGAGCCATATTCCTGTGCACTCCCCCGACTCTTTCTCCACACTTATCAGATAAATTAGGTACAGTGATAAAGCTGGAAGTGTTCTTCATAACCGTTAGTTGTCTAGTAGAATTCGGTTATGTGAATGAAGTTGGCATCATTCTGTTTAGAGTTTGATACCTTTGGATGCGGCTGCCTCTTCATTTTAAAGTCCCACCACCCTCTCCTTCAGCTTCTACCACTTCCCGATATCTTTGCTTACAGTAGAGCTCCAGATTTATACATTCCAGCTCATCATTGCTCACCAACTCAGTACCCTCAAGCTATTCAGTCCCATTTTCCTCAGGATAAGGTAGAAGAAAGGATCACGAAGCATTATAAAATAGCAATACGTAGTTTTGACTCATATGTATGCATGTATATGGCCCACACAAGAATCTGTGTTTAGAGGCAGTATGCTATGAATCTATAGGACCTAGAAGAGTGCCTGGAACCTTAGAAGAACCCAACAAATGTCTGACAAAGAAGAAGAAGTAAAGATTAATTCAGCACGTATTAATTGTACTTTAATTATGTGCCTGTCACTGAGCTAAGTACTGGGTATACAACAGGCAGCCAATGGTCAATTCCCGGTTCTTCTCCTATTCTAGTATTTAGCAGTGGGAAATCCATTTTTCTCACTAGCTGCTTCTTTCCCAGAGTCCTTTGCTGGCATTTCCTCTTACTGGCCTCTAAATGATTCAGTGCCCTTATGCTCAGACCCCAGCTCTCTTCTCTGGACAATCCTCCTACATGATTTTATCCAGTACTTTGGTTCCCAGTATCAGTTGTAAGATGACTGATGACTTCCAAATGTCTCTTTCCAGGCTTATCTTTAGAGGTCCAGATGCCTACTTGGCATCTCCATTCAGATGTAAAATAAACATCTCAGTGATCCAGTGACCAGGGAGGGGGTAGACCTTAGTAATAGAGCACTTACTAGTATGTGTGAGGATCGGGGTTTGATCCCTAGCACTGCCAAAAAAAATAATAATAATTAATTTTAAAATAGTAAAACAAGCATCACATACTTAACATATTCAAAATATGTTTTTCACTCAAACGCACGCCTACACTCGCCTGTTCTGTTCTTTCCCACCTTAGTGGTCACTTCTTAGGTCTGCCTTTGACAGCTAATCCAAATCACATGCATTCCTATCCTGGAATATGGCAGTAGCCTCCTAATTGGTATCTCTGAAGCTGTCTTGGCATACAAACATTATTGATGTAGGATTTTTTTTTTTAATAAATAAATAAGAACATCCAGACACAGTGGGGTGTGCCTGTAACCCCAGCAAACTCAAGAGATTAAGGCAGGAGGATCATGAGTTCCAACTCAGCCTAGGCAATTTAGCAAGATCCTGCCTCAAAATAAAATAGAAAGTTCTTTAAAATGTTCACAATTTTCTGATCACCTCAACCTCCTTTTCAGAATATCGTTTTATCTACTAAAAGAAAAAATAATGACTTCCACAAAGTGGAAGTAGTACGTGGCAGAAAAGCCATTTGGAGATCAGGAGTTTATAAGTTTTGGGAACTGAACAACAATCCTTTGTCTCTGAATCAATTTTATGAGTTACTGTAAATTTTAATGTATACAGGAYCCTATAATGATGGCTCATTACTTTTCAGCAGTATTATGTCCTAAAATTTAACAWGCAGACAAGAATTAACCAAACATGTGAAACCATTAATAGCTCTCCACCAAGGAAGCAATATTTTAAAATATTCAACTTCCGCATCTGTGAAATACTGAAAATACTACTTAGGCATTATAACAGTGATTGACAGACATTGTATTCAACGAGGTGAGTACTAGTCTTATTCYCAATTCACAGATGAAACAGAGGCTCAAAGCACTTAAATAACTTTGCTATGGAATTGTAAGAGATTAAGTGGCAGAATTGGGGTTTGAACCAGAGAGATATGGCTCTGAAATCATGTCTTCAGRATTAGGTAAGAGAAGGCAACATTAAAAAAAAAATGACTAAGGGAAAATAGAAGTCTCTAGAAATATTCAGTTATTATACAAATAACATACTCAGACACAACCACAGTAGATTTCAGTATTATTTATTTATTTAAAAGACTTCGAGTTCAGAATAGTCTTTAACATGGAAAAATGTGAAACAACACTATTGTATCACATTAGTATACAAATATTCCCATTTAATTTGAAATTCATTTTCAGTATTTTTGTAAGTTGAGTTTCAAATCAGATTTTCATGATGAAATCGGGAGTAGTTCGATATAATGAAAGAAAATTCTGTAATTAGGGAATTTCCTAGAAGCTAAATTCAGTGGTCCAATCCTGGATTGAAAAACAAAATTAAAGGGCTGGGGCTATAGCTCAGTGGCAGAGCACTTGCCTGGCATGCGTGAGGCTATGGATTCAATCCTCAGCACCACATAAAAATAAATAAATAAAATAAAAGCATTGTGTCCATCTACAACTATTAAAAAAAATTTAAAAAAAAAGAAAAACAAAATTTAAAAGTTTGTGATGAACGAACCAATTTAAAAGAAACAGAAACTTCAGCATTCGAAATTAGGAGTTTTCAAAAACATTAATATTTGGCTCCTTTAAGGAATATTACCATAAGAAAGAAACATTAGGATGTATTATGGCTTCAATGTCACATTAGCATTTTCAAAGTGATCTCACATACATTATTCAAGTGTCACAAGAACAATCCTATTTTTCCAAGTAGGAAACCAGCTGTTTTAGTTGAACTTTATAAGGACATCTGTAGTGCAGCAGGCCTGGTTCTAACACTGTGCCACCTCACACAAAAATGCCAGCATGTTTCTTTCTTTTTTTATATAATATTTATTTTTTAGGTGTAGATGGACACAACACAATGCCTTTATTTTTATGTGGTGCTGAGGATCGAACCTGGGTCCCACCCATGCTAGGCGGGCACTCTACCACTGAGCCACAATCCCAGCCCAGCAGCTTTCTATTCTACCACCTTTTTAATAATAAAATTTAGGGTCAGGGCTGGGGTTGGAGCTCATTGGAGGAGCACCTGCCTAGCACATGTGAGGCACTAGGTTCAATCCTCAGCACCACATAAAAATATAAATAAATAAAATAAAGTTATTGTGTCCATCTACAACTAAAAATAAATAAATAACAAATAAAAAACTTAGGGAGCTGAGGCTGTGGCTCAGCAGTAGTGCACTTGCCTGGCATGTGTGAGGCACTAGGTTAGATTCCCAACACCACATATGAATAAACAAAATAAAGGTCTATCAACAACTACATAAAATAAATAAATAAAAATTTAAAAATTAGGCTCACATTTCTTGGAGTCTTCTGTAAATATATTTCTCAAAATAAACAGAAATCAGTAATTTTGGGAAAAAAGGATTTGAAAACACAGTTTTAATATTTTCCTTAGTTGTTAGTTTCAAAGACTCAGAAAATCATATAAAATAGAA